ATGTCCTGCCCTGAGCTTGATGTCCCCTCGATTTTATTAATCCTCAGCATTCCTACCCCATCCTCACCATCCCAGCAGGAAAACAAATCCCTTCCCCATTCCATGAGTCAGAGAGCCTGGAAACGGGGGAGCCAAGTGGGGACAAACAGCCCCTGCTCCGGAACTGGGGGGGGGTTTTGGGGCGAGGCAGGAGGACGAGCCGGGGCTGTTTGAGCCGGGTGTTCCCGGCCACCCCCTGCATTCCCACCCCTTCGTGCTCCTGCTGCTTCCTGGTTCCTGCACGGTCACAGGGGGAGGAGCAGCAGCTCCGATAAGGAAGGAAAGGCACAGAGAGAGAAAGAGAGAAAGAGAGAGAGGGGAGGGGGGGTTTATAACATGAAACAATTTGAATTTCCAAAGGCCACTTTTGCTGTGCCACTGGGGTTCCATCCAGGCCACCCCTTGGAGGTGGGCACGACCTTGGTTGGGGTTTCCCATCCTTCCCTGGAGGTTTAGGGTTTTTTAGGGGCCCAGCGGGGTCTGGATCGGCGTGTTCCATACAGGAGAGGAGAGAGGGATGGGGCTGGATCAAGGGCAGGGTGAAGCAGGTCCCTTGTGGGGGCGGGAGGGGCTCGTCTCTCCCTCGCCACGCGCTTCGGGCCTGGGTTTTTTCCTCCAGGAAGCAGCAGCGGCTCACGTGGCCCTGCTGGCCCCGGGCCCGGCTGCTGCAACTGCCCTTCCCAGGCCTGGCTGCTCCAACTGCCCTTCCCTGGCTCCTTCTGCTCCAGCTGCCCTTCCCTGGCTCCTTCTGCTCCAGCTGCCCTTCCCTGGCCCTGCTGCAACTGCCCTTCCCTGGCTCCTTCTGCTCCAACTGCCCTTCCCTGGCTCCTTCTGCTGCAACTGCCCTTCCCTGGCTCCTGGTGCTCCAGCTGCCCTTCCCTGGCTCCAACTGCCCTTCCCTGGCTCCGGCAAACTGGGGCTGTGCTGCCCCTGCAGGAGCCAGCTGGACCTGGGCTGGGCAATGTGTGACCCCCCAGCCCTGCTCAGACCCTGTCCCAGGCAATGTGTGACCCCACAGCCCTGCTCAGACCCTGTCCCAGGCAATGTGTGACCCCACAGCCCTACTCAGACCCCAAACTCATGCTCAGACCCCCGTACCCATGCCCAGCCCTGCAGTGGATGATGCTCAGCCCTGTATTGATGCTTGACCCCATCCTGGGCAGTGCTTGACCCCATCCTGGGTGATGTTCAGCTCTATATTGGATGATGCTTGACCCTTACCAGTGCTCAATCCCATACTGGGAGGTGCTCAATCCTGTACTGGGACATGCTCAGCCCCAGTCCCATCTGATGCTTGGCCTGTCCTCATGCTCAGCCCCACACCAGGGGCTGCTTGACCCCACACCAGTTGATTCTCAGCCCCGTACCAGTGCCCAGCCCCACACCAGGCAAGGCTCGGCCTCGTGCCAGGTGATGCTCAAGCCCTGCACTGATGTTTGACCCCAAACCAGTGCCCAACCCCACAGCAAGTGATGCCCAGCCCTGTGCCAGGGTTCAGCCCTGTACCAGGCACTGCTGTGCCCACCCCACCACCCCGTGCCATCCCCACCCCACAGGCAACCAGCCAGACCCCCAGACCCCCGGGCTGACCCCCCCACTGTCCTGTGTCCATCCAG